AAACCTTAGATAAAAAGGTAGTTTTGAAATGGACCAGTAGTTATTCAGATCAGATGGTTTAAAGATTGATTTTTTACCATGGGTTCAACAACTGGTTTTTAAAGGATTCTGGGACACGTCCTGATGTCAGAGAGAGGTTTACCAGGTCCACAAGTGTGGGTCCTACTACGTGAAAAACAGCTTTAAGAATCATGGAGGTAAGATGTGAAGAGGGGGGGCAGATGGTTTCATTTATTGGATTATGGTCCCAAAATTATTCACTGTTACCAGATCCAAAGAGGACCAGGAAGGACTGAGACTGATCTCAGGAGGTGAATATGAAAAGCAGCAGGAGACGGTTGAGTTGAGATGCTGTGCCAGATGTTCTCAGTTTTAACAACAAAGTGTGTCAGGAAGTTGTTGGGTCTGGCAGGTGAACAGGTGGTAGGAGAGGACATGAAACCAACGTGTTGATGGTGCTGAAGGAGGTTCTGGGTTTTATTAACAGTGTGACCAACTGATCAAACCTGTCATTTTTCATCATGGTCTGCAGTGGTGGTCTGAGACCTCTGAGGTGAAGCCTGTGAACTTCTAAACAGGAGGACTTCCACAGACCCTCTGCCTGTGTCCAGATGGTCTGAGACCTCTGAGGTGAACTTCTAAAGAGGACTTCCACAGACCCTCTGTCTGCAGCAGTGTCCAGATGGTCTGAGACCTCTGAGGGGAAGCCTGAGGAGGACTTCCACAGACCCTCTGCCTGTGTCCAGATGGTCTGAGACCTCTGAGGTGAACTTCTAAAGAGGACTTCCACAGACCCTCTGTCTGCAGCAGTGTCCAGATGGTCTGAGACCTCTGAGGGGAAGCCTGAGGAGGACTTCCACAGACCCTCTGCCTGTGTCCAGATGGTCTGAGACCTCTGAGGGGAAGCCTGAGGAGGACTTCCACAGACCCTCTGCCTGTGTCCAGATGGTCTGAGACCTCTGAGGGGAAGCCTGAGGAGGACTTCCACAGACCCTCTGCCTGTGTCCAGATGGTCT